CCCCCCCCCCCCCCCCCCCCTCTCCCCCATTCTTCATGACCACGGTCGTAGTGGTTTTGCATTTGGCCTGATTAGATATAATATATCAGGCCTCTCGAATTTCGTGTATGGAGGCTGCAGTGCTTCTGGTCAGCAGTCTTTAAACGAGAAGCGCTGACCAACTACTGGCCAATACACAATCAACTAATGTAACCCGAGGTCAATAGACCAGCTTGGTTGTAATAGCTCTAAAACGAAGTCAGTGACCCTCATCTTACACATGTTTATCTACTTATTTTACACGTTCTCGGTAAGTTTTAAAAATTGTTTAACGTTTAGATTTTTCATCTACACAGTCCAAAATAAAGTAAATGGCATATGGGAATTATCTCCATAACGAGCGCAGTGACCCCCATTTTTTATTTTTTGGCTCTTTGATACAAATTAACCAATATCTTTCATCTGAGAAAATATGAAAAATAACATTCCTAAAACGATGGGGATAAAAGTTTCCCACTTTCTATTTTTCTCTYAATTTCCATTTTTCCTTCCCATCCGGATCCGTGTCCCATAACCTTATTTGTATCAGGCTCAGAGCCCGAGTAGGTTGTGTCTCACGTCTGGCAGAATCTCTACGTTTGGGTTACCTGTGTAACTAGCAGTGACAGGCACAAATCGGTACAAGCAAAACAACCCATATAAAGTAACGCAGTACTGTCACTCTGCCTCTCTGAGTCCAGAACACTGGAATAGGTGGAGCAGTTAGTAGGTAAGTCTTTTAAAAACCACTGAATCCTTTAAAGGTCGACCTATATTTTTCCTAAATATTATATTATTAGTCAGGGGAAATTTTCTGACTCATTTGCATAATTATCTCGTTCGATTTTGACAATTCAAGCTAAAAACATAGTTTCTTAGATCTCACGAAAGCCACTTTGTAAGTATTTGCCCATATCGGCAGTATTTTTGTATATGTTTTTTCAAAGGGTCTTGAAAGCATTCGTTATTTTTATCAAGATTTATCCTCTTTTATACTAGTAACGAAGATGAAACGTTTGGAAAGTTAAAATTCGAACGTTGCGTTGTCGTTTTGCTGTAGCCCTTGACGAGCCAAGGATTTGCCTGAAATTCGTTCAATTTTGTACAAAACTAAAATTCCTTTATCGAGGTACATTCTTTGTGAGTCAAGATTCGGTAACGATTCAATTAATAAGTTTCTCATTTTCAAKAGCCAATCTATAAAATTTTGACAACCGTGCAACGAAGCGAATAAGTAAGTATTTTGAGTCTTCCATCACCTATTGTTCTGGATTTGTTTATTTGTGAGRTAAAAACGTATTAGACAGGAAATCAGGTTTTCTAAACTAGTTTTTCCTGCTGCTAGTTTTATTCCAGGAAAAATATCTTTAAGTCAGAAAATTTTGCTTTCATTTTTGACAATTTAGACCTTTCGTAATGAGCTGATTGGGTAGCTAAGGGTAAAGGTTAAAACTAGACGTGYAGGCTTATCTACATGGTATTGTGTTAGCCAAGGCACGTCGTGAACTTTTGTTTATCGTTTCGCAATGTGCATAGATTTTGATGTTTTGCTGCACGAATAAGCTTATATGGTATAAATCGATCGATTAAATTAGTGATATATTTTATGATTGTATTTTTATTTGTCTTGACTATAAAAAAGAAAAGAAAAAAGAAAGAAAAATGAAAGAAAAAAAGAGAAAAATTAAATATGGCTTTTGCTTTCTTTCGAAAGATTTCCATTTCACAGTTAAATAAATCTCATCTTAAATCTTGTCTAAAAGAATTAATCTATTCTTGGTTTTCACCTACGTCATCATGAATTTCAAAAGCGTAAATTCGCATTATAATGAAATAAAAGTCTTATATTCTTGTAAAGCGTTCCAAACTACGTATACTGGTTAAATTTTAAGGCTGTAAAGCATTTCGTTGCGGAACTATAGGCGAGTAAACATGACGCAATTTTTGGTTAAAATGTATGGAGCGGCCATCTTGGTGTTCCAAGTTGGTACACCATCATGGCGGACGAAATTCTAAAGGCTTAAAATGATGGAATATTTAATATGTTTGACTATTTTTCACTTACACATACTTTAAATAGATATTTTAAACGTGTCTAAGGGAAAATCTTTCAACTAAAGTAAATTGTTTTAATATTTTCATCGCTATTTAGAAAGACGTGACGGTATTGCGTGACACAAACTCAACCTTCATAACTCGGGAACCAAACATCGAAATGACTCGAGATTTTTTCTTGTGTCTTATAACACTGACTTCTAAAACATACTTGAGAAATGTCTTTATACGATCAATAGTTTAGATTTTGATGTTTTGATGACGTCATGTGAAAACCAGCAATACTAGCAGTAAATTTGCCCCTCCTCTATTTGTCATTTAGATGCCAGAGTTTTCAAAAAGGTTTAATAGGCTTACAATATACATCTGTGCAAATAACATATCTATTGTGTCTAGACATATATATACTAATAATATGGATAAAACTAAATCTTTTACAGAATTAACTAAAAAAAGGCCCATGAGATAATGATGCAGAAGTTATTTGTACTTGCCTTGCTTCTTGGTCAGGTATTKTATATACTGCTTTTATATGAATAGTATCTGTTTAAAGAATGCAAAACAGACTTGATATACACTGAATCGACCAATTTGAATAACTTTTACTCTGGACTGACTAGAGACTGACCAGCAGCCTCGTGTTTTCATGGAAACATTTTCATTTTCACATGTATGAGAGACTAGTCAGTCACTAGTCAGTGCATTATGATAGTTATTTAAATTGGTCTCCATATTTCGATTCTGTTTATGAGCCAGGCCTATGTAAAAAAGAATACAAAATTATATTATAACTGTAGACAGGCCTATGGTTTTTTATGGGAATTAATGATGGCATAATAGTAGTTTGCTTACCTCTGGGGTCTTGGGGTTGATTACTGGACTCACCATCACATGGGAGCAGAGCTTGTTAGGTCTCTCCCTTGATTTAAGAGTTTTTCTCCAGGATCTCTGGTTTTTCTCCCTTTGCAGATAGAACCTATAGCTAAAATGCAAAATTCTAATTTGATCTTTGATTTAGCTTTCCCTTTTATTGATCAGGACTTAGATAAAAATTTGAAGCTTTAAATTAAAGGGGTTCCAAATTGTGAATTGGGGGCTTTAACAAATTTCTAATTTGTCCACTGCAAATAATGTTTGACACAGAGCGCCCCCCCCCCCCCTTTATTAAAATACTTCAGAAACCAAGAGGGAGAATATTTGGTGTTCATTACATAAAAGCAGCTATATTTTTAAAATGGAATTTTTACTTGGATATGTTTTCCTTTTTCAGACCATGTCTCATTCCCTTGAGAATAAGTTTCTTTGTTTGAGTTGTATCCATTATGTGCCTTCGCCTGCGTTTCTGTCAAGCAAAGAAATGATACTCAGGGGAATGTCAGATGGTCTGAAAAGGGAAAACGTTAAGCCCAAGGTAAAGAGGTCTATTAGTTTTAGATTTAACATTTTTTTTGTTTATTGCCTTAGGTTTATATATCAACAWCTGGTAAGTGTTAATTTTGATGATGTTGAAATAGAATTATTGTTGATTAAAGATATGTGATGAGGAYGATGAGATAGAAGTACCTAGAATAGACCCTTTTCGAGTTCCAAATTACCACTGTGTTTATTGATTACAGACTATTATTTACTCTGTGACTGTGATGATTATGAGATAGTGATGATGATGAGATGGTGATATTTATGATGATGGGATAACTGATGATTGAGGATGAGATGATGATAATGTGGACATAATGATATGGATGATTAGCATATACCAACTTGTGTACTTCCTAAGAACATGCATGCTCAATGGTTAATTGGAGGTAAATATTGTACGATATTCACCTCTGAATCTCGGAATATTGAGTTGGCAAAAAAATGGCATCTGCCGGCAATCATTTTGCTACAATTTCCGAAGGGGAAATTGAAAAAATGAAAGTAAATGCCATTCCTATCAATCAAATTTTTGTGTGAATTTGTCACACAAACTAAAAGTTTCTGTTTGTTTGTTTTTATTGAATTATTGTATATAAAAATAAGTTACTCTGTACACAAGTTGGTATATGCTAAAACAATTATTCACCTCAGGCTCAGTGAATATGGAGAATATTTACCTCGCCGCACGAAGACTCGCGTCTCGGTAAATATTCCCCGATATTCACTTCACATTCAGCAAATAATTGCTAATTATGATGATGATGATTTGTGATAAAAATGATGGTGATGATGATGATCATCATCATCATTATCATCATGACTTTAAATGATGAAGGCCGAGGAAGGGGATGAAGATTAGCTTATATATACTGTAAATATAAACCATATTTCCCTGGAACTGATATCATATATGATTTAACAGAGAAAGTTGGTATTTGCAAGCCAGCTCCTGCATTTGGTCCATGTGTGATAACATGTGGTGCTGACGAAGACTGTGATGGAATACACAAATGTTGTAGTAATGGATGCGGTGCATGGTGTTCAGAACCAAGTAAGTCTGATCTGCTCATATTAATTAGTATTATTCAAATTATTTTTCCGCCATTATAAATGACCTTGATAACGGCAAATTACTGCCTACAAATAGAATAATCTGCTCATGCGCATTATGGTACAAAGCTGTTTGCTGCAAATAATACTCTGCTCATGTGCAGCAATGTTGCATTTGTCACATGGCTCACTTCCCTGTGACTTGGCATGCAAAAACAACCAAAGCACAAAAAGGAAACAAAATTTTTTTTGAATGATAAAACAATTATTAAACTTGGTTATCACAAAATTTTGTGATTCGTTAGTCTCACAAGCAATTATTTGCCTCTGCCTTCGGCATCCGTGTAAAGACTTTTGCCTTCAGCATCAGCAAATAATTGCCCACTCACCACTAATAATTCTAATATCAGAATATCACAAAAAAAATTCAAATTACAAATGGTTCGGATGGAATGAATAGCCACCATAAGCTTAAGCTAGGGCTATTTATGAGAGGCTGCATAATTGTGGCATGCTGTAAACCTCTGGAAAAAAGTCCCTTATCTTGTGATTCTATTGTTCTTCTATTGTTTTAAGATCAAAAAGGCATGTTGAACAAATATGAGCACAGGGCTCATTTTCGGAGGTGTAAAGGGCCAGTATGCCACCTTTATGACCCACAATTGGCTGTATATACTGAGATCTTAGAGTTGAAACTTATCATTAAACATAAATTTTCTTTTTTTCCCAACTTCTTAGCATGTCCTCTAGGCCAAACTAAAGTAGACTGTCCAGCAAGTCTATGTAACTATGTTGGCTGTCCAGGAAAACCTCAGGAAAGTGTTCAATGTTCTGTGGACTTTTGCAATCAGTGTAAAGTGAGCTTCCGCAATGTTACAACTGGTGATCCTGTTGACTGTGGACCAGGTAATATTATTAATAATATCCTGATAGATTATGATTTGATATCCAAAAGTTCCGATCTTTGATTTATTAAAAGGGCTGTCCAGATAATGTCATGATACATGTATGCCAGCGTATTTTCAAACATTATTTAGAAAAATAAAATCATAAAAGTACAAGAGGCAGTAAGTAAAGCCATTGAACACCTTCCTGCATGCACCCATAATCATGGCAATCTCTTTGTCTGGGTTTTGGGCTTCTCTTGTCTCCATAGAGTAGCATTACATATGTTTTTGATAATTTTCTATAATACACTCTTGCTTTTCAGTTGAGACACTCTGTCCTCGTATGCTATCATCAACCAATCAACATCTACTTGGCCAGTACAGACCTAAATGTGATAAAAATGGTGCATTTGAAAAAATACAGTGCCATGAGGGCTACTGCTTCTGTGTTGATACAAGATCTGGTGTTCCTGATATGTCAACCAGTGTCAGGGGTACACCAAAATGTCCAGGTATGTAGTACACTTTTAGATAAAGTCCATTTTCCATTTCAGAACATGTGTCATTCCCTAGAGTATCATTTCTTTGTTTAAAGGCTGGTTTAGACGATATGATTTTTGCCTACAACTATCATACACAACAGGCTCGCGTCTGTCGTAGGCGAGTTGTAGGCTTGATTTACATGCTACGACTTGAGTTGTTAGATGGTGTGAGTGTATTGTATACGATAGTTGTAGGCGGAAATCGTACCGTTTAAACCAGCCTTAATGGTTGCTCATGAGAAGACACATGAATTGATACAACTCTAACAAAGAATCTTATTCTCAAGGGAATGACACATTGTTTGAGTGGGATGAAAACAATATGCCCAAGCTAAACAGGTCCATTTAAGGGCCGATGAATTATGGTTATTTTTAGTGAGACTTAATGAGACCACAAGATTTGGGTATAGATAATATTATGCTTAACTTGCGACAGAGACTGTACAACCCATAAAATTGACTCAGACTTGGAAGGAATTTTGTGAGACCTTTTGTATTAGGACCATTCATCACTGCTTTGATTCAGTGTGGACAATTAAAATTATAATTTTTCTTGTTTTCATTTTCATTCATGCCATACRTACATTTGGTAATAAAGGCCTCAGATAAAATCATTAAAAAAAGATAACACCATTACTCCTTTTATTTCTAACATTCCAGAGAAGACACTGTGCCAGAAGCAAGTAGATGAAGCTATGAAGCTGCCTCCTATTGGTCGCTTTGTCCCACAGTGCAAATCAGATGGTAGTTTCCAGGAAAAACAATGCCATTCATCTACTGGTCAGTGCTGGTGTGTAGATTCTTATGGTAGAGAATGGTTTGGTACTAGATCTCGCTCACCTGTCCTTGTCTGTACTGCATCAGGTAATGTAAGGTGTTTGCTTTTTTATGGCATATAAACGTTAAGAGAAAAATGTTGAACCCACATATACAGCATTCTAGTCTCAGATGTGTTAACCACTACAAACTACACTACAAAAGCAAGTGGAAAGTTGAGCACCATAAAGAAGAGTATGCAGGATAGAGAAAATTTTTWAAATCTTTAAATATCAGACAGATAATGAACCTGTGGCCCTCATTTCATGAATTAAATTGTTAATTAATTGTAAAGGAGGAGGATGAACAGAGTCACTTCTACAGAATATTTAACAAGAACTGACAAATAAAGTTAAATCACTTTGATATTAACAACACAAGTTTGGGAATTGATCCTTGAGAAGTCTGCCATCTCTACATGTCATTGTCCATAATTTTTAAACATGAATTTCAATGCAACAAGATTGCAGAATTTTTGGTTTATTAACTTCTCAATCTTCGTAAGGGTGGAAATGGAAACTTGTACAGATTATCTAATGCTTATCTTCCTTGTTCACAGTTTGTCCTTCTGGTGTTACACAGCTAAAGTGTGATCCTRTGTTATGCCACACTGCCAAATGTCCTGGTTATGAGAAAGCATCTTGCCGAGTCAATCCCTGTGGCCAATGTAAACCAGAATTTCTTGACCAATACAACAGACAAATTAAGTGTAAGTATAAACTAATTAACCTAGGATGGTTGTATTGCATCTACTTGTAAGGCAGGGTGATCCTATTCATGAGGGTGAATTTTGTAGAGTTCTTCATAGCCCAGCACAAAGCAGTCACCAGCATTTTTTTCATTAAGTTTTGAAATAGTAGGAGAAGACCATTAACTAGCTGGAGAGTCATGGCAGGGTTTTCATTAAGTTCTGAAGCAATAGGGGACAATAATGATAGTTTAGCTGTAGAATTGTGCCCAGTAATCAGAGCATATTTCAATCCCCCACTCTAAATGAAAACCCTGAGTCACCYTAGGAGTGGGTGGAAAAAGTGGGAGGGTTTAAGCCATGACTTTAAATTGAAAATTTATGTGTTCCATTGAAAGTCCATCAATTTTCATACTGTTTGTATTGTTGAAGTTGTGCATTATTCACTTTACCAATGGYATTTGTGAATATGTTGACACTGATACGAGGCTACCCCTGAGTAAATAAGTATGTAATCAAGGAACACAGTAATACTCTATCCTTCATTGTTTTCATGAACTACATGTCTTACAAAATATATCTATTTTTCATAAATTTGAAATATTTTGAAGAAAAATCTAATTTTACTGTATTGACATTTTAGGTCTTACAAAATGTCAAAGTCTAYGCAATGAGGCTCTTGGAATTGACAAAACTGGGAATGCATCARTAGTTCCAGTCGTTGGACGTTATATCCCTCAGTGCACTAGTGAAGGAGAATTCCAACAAGTTCAATGCTATGGTTCTACTGGTTATTGCTGGTGTGTTGACAAGGAAGGAAGCCCTGTGCTTGGGACAATAGTCCGGGGGATGCCACACTGCAACAGCTCTGACGTTGGAGGTAAAGATATATCAAAGATGTAAAAAGCAAGTCTGTATGCTTTGATGAATTATGCAGCACACTATCAAAAAAATGGTCCTTGTCTTACAAGGGTAGCACTCAATAGCTAGTGGCTACCAAACCAGTGGTCCTTGTTCCATAATCGAATTGGAATTTAGGAGTTGATTATTTTTTGAGGCGGGAGGAAAACCAGAGAATCTGAAGAAAATCCTTCAAAGCACAGGCTGGAGAAAACCAACTAGAAGATACTCACATATGACACTGAGTGCGGTAATTGAACCCATCCCCAGTAATACAAATGTGAATAAGAGAAGTGTTCGGAGAAGAAGAATGACTGCAGCAGAATTAGAATAGTAACTCAAATGTCATCCAACCACTGTCAGGTCATTCCAAATTCCAGTTTTTCTGAATGAACTGTTAAAGTGTATTAATATTTCCAACTTTGTCACAGGCCAGCCGATGTTAAAGTGTATATTTTTTTGTAGTTTGTCCAGCAGGCAAGCCAATGTTTACATGCTTAAGAGATCTATGCAAGTGGTCATCATGTCCAAAATATCCCAATGCTAAGTGCAGAGTCAATCCTTGTGGATTCTGTAAGGCCGAGTTCTTGGATGATAAAGGCAATGTTGTCAAAAACTGTAATGAGGGTATGCATTCCTAGGTCACATGGTAAAAAAACGCCCTTGCTTTTATGAGGGTAACAAACCTGTGAACCAGGAGAAACACCAACTAGAAATTCTACTCACTGAGGCCCGCAGGACTCAAACTTGCACTGATGAGAGCTACATGTAGGTGCCCTCACTACTATGCCACCTCTGCTTCCCCCAAAAGGCAATGCCTTACCCAATTAAACCTTGGAAGCCATCAGTTACACTGACATTTCCTTACAGGCAAAGTGACAGGTCACTACGCCCTGTATATAATAGGATACTTGTCTGGGTTACCTTTGGCATGTACTTACAAGATTTTAAAAAATTGTAATTTTAAAGAGGAAAGAGAGATCATACATGGGAATTACTTTGTGAGGAAGACCAATGTCTAGCTGGTCTTTTTAAAGTTTTGAACTGTGCATTAGCTTGTATGTTTATTGTATAATTATTCAGAGAAGGGCTTATCATTTATATATTTAATTTCTAGGATTTAGTGCTTGCCAGCAGGAACGTGCAAAAGCTCTTCAGACAAGACCTGGTGGGCTGCAGCCAGTTGGAAGGTTTGTTCCAGAATGTGCAGTTAATGGTTCTTACAAGCAAGTTCAGTGCTGGGGGTCTGTTGGATATTGCTGGTGCGTTGATGATAAAGGAAAAGAGGTTGCTGGCTCAAGAGTTAGAGGTCAACCAGACTGTTCCAAAGTATCAGGTAAAAAATGTTAAGAATAAAATSTTAGGTTTATGAGAGAGTTGTAGATAACGAGGATTTTTTTGTTGTTTTCAGTGAAGGTAGTTAAAGATGGATTTTGCCCTTTCAAGCAACCAAGAGATGGCAAATTGTTCTGTTCTTCTGCAAAGAAMTGCACATCTGATGGTGACTGTGTTGAGAAGGACAGGTGCTGTAATAGCACTTGTGGACCCATATGTCAGACACCAATTTTCACAGGTAGGATGAGGTGAAGATCTGATGATAATTATGCTGATGATGGTTAATTATTGATGGTGATGATTATGTGCTGATGGTGATAGTTATAACGATAATGCTGGTGATGATCATGACATTGGTGGGGTTGGTGACACATGATGGCTCCGGTGATAATTATACTGATGATGGTATGATGATGATGGTAATGATGATGATGATGATGATGATGATGATGATACTAATAATGCCTGCTGCCGCTGGTGGCGATGAGGATGATTATGAAAACTCCCATGATTTGAAATCTATATTTAAAGTACTTAAAAAGCCCTTGCATCAGCAGCATCATCATAATCATAATAATMATCATCATCATCATCATGAAAATTTAAATAGCGCCTATATATCCATATAGCCCATAGGCACTTTACATTAATTGAGAAATAACTGGAAAAATAAAGTAAAAAATCTAAGAAATCTAAGAAGATAATCCTTTACTGGTATAAATCAAATCAAATATTTGTCCCTAATTTTTCCTCCTCAGCCTGTCCCAACGGCCGACCATTCTTACTCTGTCTTCACATGTGTAACTTTGCCAAATGTCCCGGTAACCCAAAAGCCCAGTGCTTCTCTGACCCTTGCAACATGTGCTGTGTTGAGTTCAGAGACTCCAACGGGAATCCAGTTGACTGTTCAAAAGGTGAGCTTCACTTCCWAAAACAATTACCTCCAATTACCTCTTTTTTTACTTTAAAAATACTATTTAACTATCATCCTTGTTCAATTATGATCCAAAATACTTTTAGGAGTAAATAAATGGAGTAAAACTTACGCTATGGGAATTAAAAAGCTCCTTTTTKACCCTTCTTTCTGCGGAAGATTTCGCCGCCATTTTGTTTTATCTCGCGTATAGTAAAAACAAACGCGGGCGCGCTTGGTTCTTTTGGCGCGAAAATGATACGAGCCTTTTGATTGGTCAGATAATATTTTACTTAAAAAGATCGGGAAAAAACTAAGAATAAAGTAAGAAAAGAAAAGAAAAGAAAAATGAAAATATAAAATTAAACATAGAGGAAAAAGACCTACCTGGTTTATTTCACTATATGATTTTTGCATATTCCATTATTTTATATTTTCTCGTAATCCACCCATATAAGAGAATATTATCTTGACCCAGATTAAATCTCGTCCGATCCAGGATAGGAGTTTTTGAATTCTTCAATCAATTAGTTATCTTCAATAAGAGACCGGCAATAAAGTGAAGTTGGGGGAGGGGGGGGGGAGGGGGGAGCTAAAACAGGGGGTGGGTCACATAATTTTGAACTCCTTGAAAAGGGTGGGCTGTCTATGAAACTGAACATCTAAGAGGGGAACCATTAATAGTGTCATATTTCAATTCATGGTTATATACATAATACTTTCTCAACCGAACAAGATGTTAAGAGGGCAAATGAAAYGAAGAAAAACAAGGAAGCAGAGTCATTAAAAGTATATACGAAGATAAGAGAATATGAAATACTTTATATTCTCTTGGCGAAGACTATAACTGGAAAGAAATGAAAGAAAGTGGTATGCTTACAAAACTGWAGGTTTCAGTCTTGGACCTTTTTATAAAGAAACACAGTTTGCTCAAGCGCAAAATGAACGAAGAAAGATGAGAAAGTCCGCCAACAATAAACGCTTGCCTGTCCATGCACCTTTTAGATGCTACTACATGTACGACAGACGAAAGGCGTGAAGAAGTTGATACTTCATGCTGGACACTGATAAGGATCACTGAAGATTTATATAGATTAGCGACAAAGAAAGTTATGACATGAGTACTCATGAAATTGGACTTACTGATAGTGAAGATGAAGACAGAGAGAAAGATGAAGCCGAATCAGYCAAAGTTACGAGGAGTGGAAGACGTGTGCATCCAAGAAAATTCTTTGGGATTCTGACTGAACAGAATCCAGAAGCTATATAAACAGTGGATCCTTTTTCCAGGGGGTGGCTCATATGTAACTTTATACACGGCCAACCAAAAAACAAGCTCCTTCAAATGGAATTCCCCCCCCCCTTACTTTATGGCCAGTCCCTAATTTAGTTTTTTTCAGGGTGTCGATAAAATTTCAGTATTTTCTATAATTCAAAGAATTTGATTTAGGCGGTTCTCTTTATTTAACAATGAGGTAGAAAGAACTACCTCCATGTTCTTTATAAATAACCCTCAATCGTTAGACAAACAGATAAACAGTTGTATCGTTTTAAAATTTACTGATTTGTTGACTTATCTAGGACTTACTTCATGCCAACTACGTCGTCAAAAAGCTATGGGACTGCTAGGTGCTTTTAGACCTCGCTGTGACGCTAAAGGAAACTACGAGTTCATTCAGCAACATGAAAGCTACTACTGGTGTGTAGATAGTAAAGGAAAAGAATTGCCTGGCACCAGGACACGATTCACCAAGCCGAAAAATTGTACTCATGTTGGGCTTAGCTGTAAGTAGTTTGTTTTGAGTTTGTGGTGAAGACAAAAAGAGAAAAGAAAAACGGAATAGTTATCGTGACTGTAGGCTGGATATTGGAAATTAAGACAATAAAACTGATGTTTGCTTTCTCTACAGCAATGACTCTATGCCAGTTACAAAGCCAAAAAGTTAAAGGTAATCACGGATATATTATAAGTGTGTTTGAAGCTATTTAAATAAACATCCCATGGCATGGTTGTGGTGTTGTTTACAGTGTTTTGTTTGTTCGTTCGTTTGTATGTTGTTTGTTTGTTCGTTTGTTTGTTTGTTTGTTCATTCGTTCGTTTGTTTTACTTGCAAGTTTACCATCTTTTCTTTTTTGTTTAGTTAATTGTTTGTTCAAATTCAGCTTGTTTTCTTGTTTTCTCGTTTTGACAGCTAATTCAATTCGTTCTTTGCCTGTTTTGCTTGCTTGTTTGATATGCTATAGTCGTCCTTCTATTTGTCGTTCATCGTTCAGTTGTTTGTTTTGTTCGTTTAATTGTTTGCATTTAGTCCACTTGGACAATTTCTCTTGCTGTTGTTGGTTTTTAAATTTAAAACGTTTTTACCCAGGTGGTCCTTCATTGATTGGTCGTTACGTTCCCCAGTGCGAAAACAATGGTTCATTCAGTCAAACCCAGTGTCATCCCTCCACCGGCTACTGCTGGTGTGTGAATACTACGACTGGAGTGATCGTACCTAACACCCAGACACGTGGAAAACCAGACTGTAACAGAGGTATTTACCCAGATAATGTTCATTTACAATAACATTAGCTGTTGTTTGTGCTCATCGACAGCAACAGTAACATTGACAACAACATAGAACAACCATCCAGGGATTTCACGATTCTTGGGGTTAATGTGACGTCATAGCGGCCATCTTGGTTGACTTTTGACAAAGATTTGGTCTTGGTGTCTTTTGTCATGTTAACTGGCCACATATGACGTCCTTCTATTTTCACGTGAAGGGATGTATTGTACATCACCAACAGCTATGTTGTAGTGCAGGAACGATACTACATTTTGTTTGACAAGAGACCTAGACTTTTGTAGTTTTCCTACATGACCATGTACTAACAACAACAAAAGCACCAATAACTCCAAACAACATGAAAACTTTTCTCGTCTCCTCTTGTCGTCAGCCTGCAGTCCATACATGTGCCTAATGTATTGTAAGTACGGTTTTGCCAAAGATCAGTTTGGTTGTGACATCTGCAAGTGTGCATCAGCTCCAAAGAAGCCAGGCTTTTGTCCAGCGGTTAATCCCCAACAAGTTGGCGCATGCGTAGAGAACTGTACCCAAGACAATGACTGTCCTGGAAGCAGCAAATGTTGTTCTAATGGATGTGGTCACGTGTGTACATCAGCTGTGTTAAAAGGTACGCAATGATGTCCTATCGGGGTGGTTGCATCGTAACATTTACAAAACTCAAGATMTAAATCAAAGGCACGACGAACACATATCATTTTACACTGGATTATGTCACAGTATGCCCAATAGTTACGTTATATATAGATTTATTAAGTCATAATGGGAGTAAAACGTAGGACATTGGCTTATACAGCACGCGCGTACACGGTACGACATGCCGCAACAGTGAAATGGCTTTCCATAAATATTGTTTTCACGTTAATCATCCAATCATAGAGCAGATTTCAGAGACCGTGAAAATCACGGTACGGAATTTCGTGGCGTGACTGTCGGACGGCAATCTCGCGCGCTGCAGTTGTTTGAAAGAATCTCGTCAATCCCGTGTGTATTCATATTCTTAACTTTTTAATGCTTTGTAGCCAAGCCGGGTGTCTGTCCCCACCGCCCTATTGATCACGTGGGAGTCTGTATGAACAAATGCGGTCATGACAAGGATTGCCTTGGTGATCAGAAGTGCTGCAGCAATGGTTGTGGCAGAGAATGTTCTGCACCTGTCCGAAAAGGTAGAGTGATTATTTAATGGTCTAAGTGTTAGACTAATAGATCCTTGCCTTATTGTACATGTCTTGCAGGAAGATATTTCTTGATTGACCACAATTAAGAAACGTAATTCTCTTATATAGCTGACAGATTTGATCTCGGCCAATTTAGTGCAATAATTTTTTCACACAAATATTTTCACGAGGAATTGCCTAATGTCTAACCTCAATAGTGTAACCCTAAGAAGAATCTCTGGGAGAGAAACTTCAGATTTTATCGATACCCTGAAACAACCTCAGGGCTGATTAAATTTAAAGACTCGGCTAACTCACAGGTCGAATTGAAATTTAGCTGCTTTGATTTAGTTTGTGGAGGGAGGAATACCGGAGAACCCGGAGAAAACTGAACGCTCAAATTAAGGGAGAGACCCAATAAACTCTATTCGCGTGGTACTGAGCCCAAGAATCTAACCAGAAACACCACATACCGCACAGCAAACCATCCATCATGCGAGAGAGCCGGACGAATTTAGGGTAGGGTCAGCGGTATTTTCATTCGACCCATAGTATTTTATCCTCACTGCATACTCATTACCAAGCCACGGGAATTAAGATATGGAAGGTGACCGCCACTGCTGGCAATGAGCATGCGATGCGTCGTCATCCGCCACCAGGGGAGGTGGGTGGGGTGAATCTTCTACTCTCTACTTAGGCAGCTTCCGACGGAATGATTCAAGGATCTGGGTGTGGTGCTTATATATGGAGGGGTCGCAAAGCATTACACCCGCACTGCGCAAACTCCAATGTCCATAATGGGAGGTTGTTAAATTCCTACGTGACACACTAATTATGTATACATTGAGAATAGTTCTGTCACTGTTCTGTCAAGATTAATCAGAATGCTCCCTTAACACTACTGATATACATTTTCCTTATTGCTTCTGTAGCATGTCCTTATGGTCAACCCCTCGTCATGTGCTTTGTCAACCCATGCCAACATGCCTCTTGCCCGTCCAACCCTAAGGCACGGTGTAGACCAAACTACTGTGGAGGCTGCAAGGCCGAGTTCTTTGACAAGGACAATAAGATGGTCTCGTGCACATCGGGTAAGCAAAACCTTTAGTTCCTGGAGAAATATATCGGTATTATTTCCTGGGTTTGGTACAGGTTTATGACTCCTGCAAGATAAATTTGAACTACGTTTACTTATATAATAATAATAACTTTATTAGTGTCTCTATATCTTCTAGCCGGGCACAAGTGCCCTACTAATCGGRGAGACAAAAATAATCGACCACGAAGGGACTCGAACCCTCAATCTTCTGATTCGAAGTCAGACGCCTTATCCATTAGGCCACGCGGCCAACTCGATAATGGGATTCATTATAAGGGGATTCATTCTTAAGGGGATTCATTATAATATAGATCGATAACACTGAAATATGTATGATGATGATTATCGATGATGCGTTGATTGATTAAATTAGCCTCGAGTCCGCAGGCAGCTCCTTGGCTCTTTTTGCTCTCTTTTTGCTCCTTGGGATTCCTGTGGTGAGGGTCTTCTCCTCTCTCGTTTCTAGTTTTTCTCTGCCATAAGATTTGACACAGGGGTCCCAACGGAGAATTTATGGAGTAGCCTGCGGAGGAGGCTATGCGTGAAGATTGKTGGTGGTGGTGATTATATTATGAATGTAAGAGATAATGTGATGATAACCCTGCTGAGCGGTGAATTTTGTTTCAACCAATCACAGAGCGTTAAAACTGTTTTGCCGGCCCTCGTTCCCAGGCTACTGTTACCCAACTTTTGCGTATTTTTTCTGTTTTCTTTTGACTTCATTACAATATACGTGCCTCAGAAATATGAAAAGGAAGAAGAAGAAAAAAAAAACAATTTCACTTTACCACCAAGTTTGCTTCGTTCTTTCAAGCTCCAAAAATGCTTAGGGCCGGTCATTTTGTCTACTCATGCTTTGCGCGCCGCGTTCCCCGCTCAGCTGGATGTTCTCGATGATAATGACCATGATATACACGTACCTATGCATCCGTCATCTTTGTGAAATAATATGCAATTAATATTGGGTGAGGTTAGGCAACATATCGTAAATTATCGAGACCAAGGCCGTAAAAAAAAAAAAGGATTAAAAAAGACCGTATTACTTATATGCCGAAGCCGTAGGCTAAACCCCACGCCAACCGAAACCAAATTCAATTCCCATTTTCCATACATCAGTTCCCTGGTCAAACACAAAGCGCTCAAGCGAGGCGCCAAGGTACTTTCAAAAGATTATTCAWATTTGAACCTTGCAACCTCGACTGAATGCTTTGTGTTTGACCAGTGAACCGATGTGTGGAAAATGGTGAACAATTGTTTTATTATACATTTTGTAAACTAAGAATAATTCTAACAAACTAAATGACAAAAGTATTTCATTCTCTATAATGATCTCGAATGACTTTGACATGATAAATGCAGTATCTGCTGGAAAACCTACAGATTTTGCATTAATAATGTCGAGTTCACACGATCAATTGGATTGGCTGAGGGCTCTCAGCCAATGAGAAGCGAGAGATAGTGAGTAAAATGTATAATAATAATGATGGTCTTTATCAGGTCTAACTGAATGTCAGCGTAAATATCTTGAGAGTACATCCAAGGGGCCACTGATTGGTGCCTTCATCCCTCAGTGTGATAAGAATGGTGCCTTCCAAGCCATGCAGTGTCATGGTTCTACCGGATACTGCTGGTGTGTTGATCCTAACACCGGTAAAGAGATCGAAAACACCAAGAAAGGTCCAGGACAAGGACAGCCATCATGTAAGCAATCAGGCAATCACAATACACAATGCAATGCAATGCACTTTTATGCACCTGGGCCGGTTGTACGAAGAGTGGATAGCGCT